GAATGGGTTGCTGACCCTGCTTATCAAGGGTTTAGCGGAAAGAAGTGGTGGTTCTGATACCACTAGCAAAGGCTTTCTCACCATGCTTTATGGTCTATATAACGGGATAAATCTGGATTATGGCACAATAATCTGGTCCCAAGTGGTGCAGAGTTTGAATACCACAACTCGTCATTCTGAAATATCATGTGGTCGATTCTAGACTGTGATTACAAGGAAAGCTATGGATACTTTGGAGATTCCGGTTATGATCGATGCTCTTCTTGCTTCTATCGCTACATATCACACCACGAAGATTATTCTCTCTTATCCACGTAAGTTTCTTCATTATGGATCAATTCCTGAATCGATGTACAGGTGTGTCACGGCACAAAGCACAGTGATGGATGATTACCGAAAATTGACTCCAGTTGGTCCAAGGGTCTTGTCTGCAGAACAACAAGCTGCCCTAGATGCTTTGGAACAACCTGCACCTAGAGGCAAGCGTGTGGTTAAAACAGAGAAAGAGGAGGCAAAGGAGAAAAAGGAGAAAGTTTCTAAGCGAAAGGCTGGTGAGGAAGCTTCTTCTCAAACAAAACAGAAAAAGATTAAAAAGATGGCTAAAAGGCCTAAGAGAAATTTGTCTCCTGAACCTGACACTGTTGAAGATCAAGCAGCAGAAACTGAGAATCCTCAAGTGTTCACCTAAGAGCCTACACCACCGAGATCTCAAACCCCACCCTCATCTCCGAAAGATACTCACATTCCATCTCCTCAACCCACAAAAATTTCCACCCCAACCCAATCACCAAAACAGAAAGCTCCACTTTCTGTTCCCACAGATATATCAACCCTTCCGGTTGAAACTTCTTCTATGCCAACTTCAACTACCTATACCTCTATTCCTGTCTCCACTACACCTCTCACAACTCCTTTTGCAACAGAATCCATCACCACTACCATTCCCCAAATCCCAGTTGAAGTCAATGTATCTGATACAGGGGCTACTTCTGTGGTTGATCCCCCTGTTTCTAAACCACCATCTCCCACCCCATCTTCTAACTCTGGTGCCACTTTGGGAGGTGATGACGAAGAGTATGATTTATTATACTTTAGTCCTTACCGGATTCCAACTGATACAGATGCTGATGCTCCTGTCAACAATCAACAGCTTCAAGACATCAATGAAAAGCTTGACCGCCTGCTTGCAGACAACAAAGCTTATAGTGGGGTTGTCATGAAAGCTTTTGAGCAAGGTGAAATTACAAAATAATTACAGCAAAGCTTATTGTATTCTAAATGAGCATCATTAATGAAATTACAAAATAATTGCATAAGTAAAAATATACATTAATCAATCATAACAATTATTAAAAATAATACTAAATAGATAATTATATTTGATTTTATTAATGAGCAAGATGAGTTGATTTCAATGAATATTATTGTTCAAATAGTTGAAATTATATATATATATATATATATATATATATATATATATATATATATATATATATATATATATATATATATATATATAAGTTAGTGTACAAATACTATATCAATGTTAATGTCAATAATGTAACCATTATAATATATATTTTTCAGTATTCTAACAATATATATTTAAACTATGCCGCGTAACGCGCAAAAATTCGTATAGTATAAATATATTTTTGAGAGAGATTATTAAAATGAACCAATTATATTTGCGGTCTCTTTTGGGTACTAGAGACCAACATGTTGGTTATTAAGTCGGCCAGTAGTCGTCATTATGTTGCTTCTTCGACCATTACTTGATCATCACATTAAAATACTTGTGTTTACCATTTCAAATTTATAATAAAATTCAAGGTCAAACCTGTTAAATTTTCCTTATGAGGTCAATATTTATATTTTTCGTGGAATATTATATTAGATTGTGACATTATATTTTAATGAAGTTCATTTAGAAAGCATTTTAATATATCTTTTAAAATTGATTATATAGTAGTCATTTTTCTTGGCATTTAGAAAATAAAGATAACGAGAATGGACCTTTTTGTGGTTCAAGCTCGATGGGTTAACAGATTTTTTCTTTTTTTTAATTAATTAATTATTATTATTATTATTATTATTATTATTATTATTATTATTTATTTATTTATTTTTATTTTTTTGTGAATTGAAGTGTTCGTTGTATGTTAAGATTGCTTATTTAAAACAACTTATGTTTATTTGTGAAAATCTTTATTTCACACAGTCAGACGGAGTTTTCGAAAAAAGGTTTGGATTAGTTTATCTGGTATCAAATCAAAATAATTTGATAAATTATTTTTAGTGTTTGATAAACTCTCATTTTAGGATTAATAATAAAACAACTTATCAAAAACTGTTTAAATAGGTCAATAAGTAAAAAAGGATTTATCAAAAACTCTTTATTTAAGTTAATAAATGTTTATAAAATCTTTTTATCCAAACACTAAAAATTCTTTATTACATGTGTCAAAACAGAATAAATCGGTAACACTTCAAATAAAAAACCCCACACACCCTCAAGTTTGTAAAAGAAAAAAAAAACACCTTATATCTTGATTCTTATTGTATTTTTGTGAAAATAAACAAATCCACGCACCCCTAAGTTTGTAAAAGAAAAAAAAAGACACGTTATATCTTGATTCTTATTATATTTTTGTGAATATTGATGATTTTTATGTTCTTTCTAATACCCAATTCATAATCATTATTATTTATATCTTGATTCTTATTATATTTTTGTGAATATTGATGATTTTTATGTTCTTTCTAATACCCAATTCATAATCATTATTATTTATGTACTGAAAACAGAAAAATTCTTTGAAGCCATTTTCTATTTATAAATCAATCATATAAAAAAGAGAAAATGATTTAAAATTTATATATTAGTCATTTTTTATAGTGAAAGTGGACTAAAGTCTTAAGAAATGACAAACCCATGAATCATACGTTATAAATAAAAAAGTTAGAGAAGAGTTCAATTTTAGAGAGAACCAAATAAACCATTTTTGTAATTTACTCTTTAGGTAATAATTAAATATTTTTAAGGATAAACTGCAAGAAAGTTATTATATTATTAAAAAAATTTGATTTTGATGCTGAATTATTTTTTTTATCAATTATGTAACTATATCTATATTTTTGTTGCAATATCTACCAAATGATCGATTCCTCTGTTCCCTCGATAACTATTTTTCCTAATTTGCAATAAAGTCACTATATTATCATAAAAATTCGATTTTAATACCGGGTTTCTTTATTAATTATGTTACTATATTTACAATTTTTATCAAACAAATATCCGGTTCAATGAAACCCCTATATTTGAAACTTAATCTTGCCACATGTGATCTGACGTGGCTTCCACATCATAGTATTGTCATGTCATTTAGTTGATAACTTGCTAGATTGATAGTAATCGGTCACTTGGAGCAACATTAATAATATTTGAAGGTGTAGAGGAACAACAAGTTCAACAACACTGATGTTGGTATACTCTGGTGATATGAACTCCAAAAGAAGGCTAATTATCCTTAGGTGAGTCACATAAGTAGGTCTTTTCTTGCCAGATATGTGGGATACAAATTCATCAAACACGAGTTAAGAGAAAGCCATATGTTTATTCTTGACCATAACGTTCAAGATCTTGGGTTCAAACAAATTTAATTGGTCAAGACATCCAGTTTTATGTCATAGGCATCTACCGGTGTCATCAGTGAGAAACTTCCAGCCAGCAGGATGACGTTGTTTAAGAAGAAAAGTATATCCATCTCGAGTTCCTTGAAGGGAAATATCATACCCTAACCTGGCATGCACAAACTTGCACTTCTTTTTAGATGGAGAAGCAGAAAACACAACATAATTTGGAAGACGAGTTATTGCAAGGTTTGGGGGGTAGAGACCGTCTTTGACGATGAAACTAAACAGACTATTTTGGAACTGTGTCATGCACCTTTCTCCTAGCGAACTCTTGATTGAAACCCCTAAAGTCTGACTTCAGACCTCTCGTGCCCAGGTGTTACCCAGTGAGCCGTAAGCCATCAAAGGTAATATAGTTATGAGTTATTATATAATGGAACCACAAAAAGTGATGCCATGAGTAATAATTAATTTCTCATAGTTACTTTTAAGAATAGATCTTGTATCAAATAGAAAATTATTTAGAATATGTCAGTGTAATATTCTATTTAGAATATTTCACGTATTTTTCAAAAAAAAAAACGTAATTTTTTATATTTTTTTTAGTTAATTCAAATTCCGAAAATAATATTTAAAGAAATTTTTTTTGGATTTTTCCATTTATTTTGCATTTTAAAATTATTTTTAGATTTGGTCTCACGGTCTCACAAAATTAGAATGGTCTCAAATCAACCTGAATATATATATATATATATATATATATATATATATATATATATATATATATATATATATATATATATATATATATATATATATATATATATATATATATATATGGGAAAAGTGAATATACCCTTAAGGGTATATAAGCTTAGGTACCCAAACTCACCATACTACGTCGTTTTGTATCATATATATATACATTGTAATTGTCTAATGTTTTTATAATTCAACTTCTAACTTGATTTCATTCAAAGATTTTTATAAATTTCACATTTATTTTCCTCTTACATAATTATCATTTTCAACTAAAATATATATAGCTTAATTGATGTTCGTAAAAAAAATGTGATGTAAGAGGAAGATAATAATGAAATTTTGAAATTCTTGAAAGTAAATCAAGTTAAGGATTGAAGTTGAAGGAATTTATAATAAATATATCAAACAAAATGACGTACTATGGTGAGTTTGGGTACCTAAGCTTATATACCTTTAAGGGTATATTTACTTTTCCATATATATATATATATATATATATATATATATATATATATATATATATATATATATATATATATATATATATATATATATGAGTGAGAGAGAGAGAGAGAGGGGAAGAGAAAAGGAGGAGGAAACGAATGAGAACCAGACGAGGAATTTGTTATACGGAGATTGATAAGTTGTGCTACCTGAAGAGAAAAACCGATGGCAATTTGTCCGGAGCACCGATGATAACGAGCCGAAAAAGGCTTAAGTCGTCGTCCGGATTACCGGTGGTAGTTCATTCCGGTCAGTGTGATTTCTTGGACACGCTTCCCGACGATATCGTTTTATGCATCCTTGCGAAGCTTGGCTCCACCGCCGATTGTGCTGCAGATTTCTTCCGCGTTTTGTCAACGTATGATCTGAAATTTGAAAAAAAAAATCATACCGTTGTTTTTGAATTTGATTTTATAACTGATTGTGGCCAATTGTATGTATGTTTAACAGATGCAAGAGATTAAACGGATTAGGGCTTCATTCACTTGTATTGTCGAAGCTTTCAACAAATTGTTTTGCCGTTAAAGCTAAAAGTTGGTCGGAATCTTCTCACCGATTTCTTAAACGGTGTTCCGATGCCGGCAATGCAGAAGCTTCTTACACACTCGGCATGGTGAGTTTAAATTCTTCTAAGATAAAGAAAGGAAAGTAGACATTTATTACAAGTGTTAACCGGAAGTTTCTGAACTTTTTCTTGTTACAGATTACTTTCTACTGTTTGCAAAATCGGGGTAGCGGAGCGTCGTTCATGGCCAAAGCCGCGATTCGGTCACACGCTCCGGCACTGTACTCACTTGCTGTGATTCAGTTCAACGGCAGCGGAGGATCAAAGAACGATAAGGACTTGCGAGCCGGAGTTGCTCTTTGTGCTCGTTCGGCGTTTCTCGGCCACATTGACGCTCTCCGGGAACTCGGACATTGCCTGCAAGACGGTTACGGGGTGAGCAAGAATGTCGCCGAAGGAAGGCGACTATTGATTCAAGCAAACACCCGTGAGCTAGCCGCCGTGTTCTCAACTACTCCGTCCTTGTTTTCCGGCAAACGCCAGAAATGGAACCTAATAGGCTCGGGGTGCCCGTTACTAAGTGATTTCGGATGTAATGTTCCGGCTCCAGAATCTCACCCTGCGAACCGTTTTCTCGGCGAATGGTTCTCAGAGAAGCCACCGAGTCCGGAGCTGAGGTTATGCTCGCACGGCGGTTGCGGTCGGCCGGAGACGAGGAAGCACGAGTTTAGACGGTGTTCGGTGTGTGGAGATGTGAACTACTGCTCTCGCGCGTGTCAAGCACTCGACTGGAAATTGCGTCATAAAACGACGTGTAGAGAAGCTGTAGATGTAAATGGTGGCGAAATAAACGGCAACATGAATGAAAATAATATCATTGAGATGGTTGTTGAGAGTTGAGAGGCCGACCGGCGACGATAGATACCGTAATTTTGACTGTAACGGTTCTTCACTCTAGAATATGAAAACGTGTGCCGGAATTTATTATTCCGGCAAGTTAGATGTTATATAATTAAATCTTAGCTGCTAATAATTAGAATATTTTTGTTTGAAATAAATAATTACAGGAAAAGTAATAATTTGACAGGTAATAAACTAGTATGTAATAAAATTATAGTAGTAAATTTGGTGAAAAAAAAAAATAAAAAAAATCTAACATTGTTAAAACTACAAACCATAATAAATATAATATTAAATTCTATAAACTTTTATGGTAATAAACATTTAGACTGTTATGGTTGTGCTGTTTAAAATATTTGTTTTAGATAAACTATGCGTTAATAAAATGAAATAGGAATGATACTGAATTTATTCGATCATCAAATCCAGCCAAATAAAATCATATGTGGAAAGCACTAAATATTTTATTTCGTCCATTTGACACATTTGACAAGCCCTTTCTAATCCTGATCATATATGTTAATGTTGCATGTCTTTTCTTTTCTTATATAGTTTGAAAATAGCACCTTAAGGTACCTATGAATATGCAACTTTTCTTACTGTTTCCCATTAACATGGTAGAATAAATCACAATAATTTGTTAATGAATTTTGACCTGTCAAAACACTAGGTGGTGCCCTTTTAATCATTTTGGGGTTTATTTAATTTTATGGGGATTGTAAATATGTAAATTTTATTTAAAGAGGGGGTTTGAAAGGAGCCACTATATTAAAAGATGGAGATAAATAGTAATCTTGATTCTTGACACAAATAAAAGACACTATTTGTGGGTACGATTGCACTTTTTTCTTTTTCTTTTCATTATTATTTTCTTTTTTTTAAAAGATAAAAGAAAAATCAAATCAAAAGGCACAATAAGAATGTAATATGCATATATGATGATGGTCTAATTTCCACCCATTTATGGCCACATATATTTTGAGTTAAGGATAATGCAACCTCATCTGATACGGCTAAGTAAGGATATTATTTGTAACACTCGAAATATAGGAAATAACATCTTTAAAACTCCAATATAAAATATTGGAATCTAACTGATACTTATCAAAATATATTTTCAATGTTCATTATTACAACAAACCATGTTTAAACGGGTGTTATCAAATATCAATCCTAGCCAGCAACTAGAGGATACATACCACTTTTTTTTTGTTGTGTTTTGACGGTGAAAAGGGAAAATTATGGTTTTTTAAGAATCTTACAATGACTTCACACCTAAATTATAAACTCACTTGCCGAATGTTACCATTTAATTGGTCATTCCATCTACATCTTTCATGTTCTAATTAAGCTTTTAACAACATTGGTTTGTTGATGTGGGGTTTATTCTTCGGCTGCTTGTAAGTCAAATATATAATGCCTTACGATCTGGGGGGCTCGCTAAACATGATTTGATATGACATGGGAGAATGTTATATGTTTAAACCTTCATTGCAATAATAGTAAAATTAATGTCAGTGGAAGATATATTGTATTTTGTATCCTATCCAAAGAGGTGGAGGTGGGACAAGGCCGATTGTTCGTTTGTACACAAGAGGTGAAGGTCATCATCATACGCATCGTTACAATACAATACTATAAAGATTGTCCAATCCAGTCTCACTCCATCCAATCCTATCGACGTGTAACAAATATAACCTATAAGTACAAAACACATATCGTGGGGAACAATGTGTATATCACATCAATATAAATTAAATTTTATTTCGTTTTGCATAACAAATGCATGTGATAAAGAACTAACTACCCATTTATTGTAATTATTAGAGATTGAACAATCATCAGGTCATCCAAAGTAGATGTATGTCAAATCTATAGTTAGTATGTTTGAAAATAAGTAATTCACACATAGCAGGTGGATGGAACATTTCTTTTGTTCATCTCGTATTTATTTTAAAAATAAATAATGTGTTTAATGTAATTAGATATTTTTTTTATTACAACTTACTTTTTAACTGCCATAACATCTATACACAATAAAAAAAAAAATTATGTTTAGTGACAACAAATAGCGTCGCAATTGATGCATAAATTGTCGCTAATACCTTAGCGACGACAGGTTGTCACAAAGGTTCATTGCTTTTAGCTCGTAGCTAATAATCAAAAATCGTCGCAATTAGTGTCGTCTCTAATAGCTGGTGTCACTAAAAGCCCTTTTCGTCGCTATTAATGTCGTCTCTATTAATTTTCCAACACTGGTCGGAGTTTTTTCCTACCAAGCTTCCCGGAGGCAGGCGTCGTTGCAATTGGTGTCGGTCATCGCAAAAGCTTTCGCAATTGATTTTTTGTTTATACAATTTATATATGATATTAGTTTATATATTATAAACTATAGAAATTACAAAAATACATAAATCATAATCTACAAATCTAAGATACATTAAAAGTAGGCTTGGTGGGATCAACTTTTGTCCCACTAGAGGAGGAACCATCTCGGGACTTTCCCTTGCGGTAGCTCTTAGACGGAGCCTTTCTCTTCTTGCCTCTTCATGGCCTAATGGCCAAAACAGGAGCAGCGGGTGGATTGGGAGTAGGTGCAACGAACTTGTCCTTGAGATTGCTCTCAGCAACCCTAAGGAGACCTTGGAGCTTGCTTATGGTGACCTCTTCCTTGTTCATGTGGTAGGTCATCCTAAATTGATTGTAACACGGTGACAAGGAGTGAAGCACCATGTCGATCGCCAAGTCTTCCCCAAAGTCAACATTTAACTTGAGAAGTCGATCGACATACCTTTGCATCTTTTGCAGGTGCACGGTAAGAGATTCTCCATGACCCATTTTGGCGGAAATCATGTTAGTGAAAATCTTGTAACGCTTTTGTCTCGCGTTTTGATGGTATCTCTCCAACAAGTCTTGGTACATTTCATACGGATACATGTCCTCGTAGGACTTTTGGAATTCGGCATTCATGGTGGCTATCATGATGCAATGTACCTTCGTTGCATCACGCTCGTGAGTTTCAAAAGCAGCCATCTCAGCCGGAGTAGCGATTTCAGGATTGATCTTCTCGAGCTTCTCATCGAGGACATACTCCTTGTCCTCGTAGCGAGCAATCATGCGAATGTATCTTATCCATTCGCTAAAGTTCGTTCCATCGAAAGTTACCTTTTGGCAAAGGCTCATCAATGTGAACGAGCTTGCAGCAGCGTTGTTTGCGTTTGACATCTACAAATAGAAAGGACAAAGATAGATTAGAATTTTGATCCCTAATTATCACGCAATAAGAAAAATTAGGGCTAGGATCCAACAACAATATTTGCATATTAGAAAAGGGATGCCGTAATCTAACATGTAAACAATTTGAAGGTAAGTGAATGACAATTCACTAATTCTCCACAACAAAACATAACTTTGACTCTTAGTGTAATGATAATTCCTAGATTTGGATGAGATTCATTGAAACTTTTCAATGGCATGTTTAAATCTCGTTTGCGACTGGGATACCGAGGATCACAAAATGGGTGTGAATTACCATGCAAATTCACATGGTGCCTTCATTGTAACGATCACCTATTCGATGTGCCGGTAAACCACACACACTCTATCGAACTATGATAAACAATGAATCACCCTTTGCCACCTTTTCTTAGAACCAATTAGTGTGCCGGTAAACCACAGACGCTCCACTAACTTCTTAGCAAGGTGCAAAGTGTAATTTCATGGGATTGCATCAATTCACTTTTCCTAAAGTAACTAGGATTGGGAATTTTGAAAAACATGCAGTTACTTTGTATTTCTTATTATACTTTTTAATAAGAAGATGAGGTTGCCCTATCCTACCCGTTCGGCTAACGACCCTCCACCGATCAAGCAAGCGGTGGGTGTGAGTGTACACCCATTAAGCGCTATTTTATAGGCAGCAATCTTATACCCACCTTATAGACCGGCTTCGTGAATGAGGCCTACTAATGGTAAGACTAACATTTTAATTTTATATATATATATATATACATATATATATATATATATATATATATATATATATATATATATATATATATTAATCTTGTAATATTATATTAGTATAGGGTTGAATTTTAAATTTGTAAAATTCTAGGGTTTGAAATTTAAATTGTCCAAATTAAAACTTATAATCACAAAACATAAATTTCAAAACTTGAGGGTAGGTTTTAAACTTTTCAAAACATAGAGGATAAAACAACAAATAATTTAAATTAACATTTAATCACATAATTATCCATATTTGATTTCTTTAATTATTTCTTGCAAAACAATTTACCAATTCAATTAAAATAATTAGTCAATTATCACATAAGGAAACTAATATTTAATTAATTGATAAATATCTTCAATTAGGTCAAGGATATATTCAAATATATCAAAAAATCGGATTTATATTGACCTAATATGATTAAGGTAAGTTTCAAAAGGATAAACAGCAAGAAATCTCGAAATTAGCTCTTTCTGACGCTCGAACTCGCCGAGTACCACAATGGACTCGCCGAGTTGAGGCCTACTCGCCGAGTCCAATATGGGACTCTCCGAGTTCATCAGGCAGGAACACAAAAATCAAATTTTGCAAGCATCAAACAAGTAACCAATGCATCAATTCAATAGAAACAAATCTAGGCTCTAATACCACTGATGGGTTTTAGCCATATGAACATTCCTATGTGCACATACAAAACCCTAATGCTTGGATCTAGGTTTATCTAATTGAACATGCATGAATCCAAGACTTATAATGGTTATTCTAGCATAATGACAAGGATAAATCAGATTTATAAGTTTACCTTGAATCACTTGTTTGATCTTCTTGTTCTTGGAGCTTTAGAGTCACAATTGTCACTCCTCTAATGGCTTACAAACACCAACTAGCAAGAGGATGATTTGAGAGAGAGAGAGAAGAGACATAGAAATCGGCCAGGGTTTCACTAGGAACAAAAGGTGCCAATTTCCATGACCCCAAGGGTTTATTT